TGAAAACCAGATTGCTCTGGGACAAATTATTAAATCAGTCCTGAGATCCAGGAATTGGACACTCAGGAATAAACCTGAGTTGAGAAAAAATGGGGAAGCTAGGTTTAAATGTGGTCCCAGTTGAGGGCACCTAGCTGGCTCAGTCAGTGGAACATGCAACTCTTGATCTTGGGGTTGTGAGTTTGAGCCCCTTGTTGGGTGTAGAGATTACTCAAAATCTTTTAAAAAAATAAATGTGATCCCAGTTGTGTGGCAGTCCCCCAGTCCCCTCATGCCTGACTCTCAGCAGAAGCAAATACAGATCTTCCTCTCTGAAAGAAGACATCTTTAATTTAGGCCTTCAGGATTTCACAGATTCACGACAAAATTGGGCCACTTCTTAATCAAATATTGAACATACAAAGAATCAAATACCCATGAGAAAGATTCAGCAGAAATCACAAAGATTCATGGACCTCACATATTAAAATGATCAGACAACATAAAATATCTATGACATTTTAAATGAAAGAATCACAAAATGAACAACAAAAAGAAATCACAAATGACCAAGCAAATGTGAAAAATAACAACATAGAACTTTTAGAAATGAAAAAAATCAAAGTTGAAATCAAAATTTCATGGTTGGTTTAGCATATTAGATACAGATGGAGAGAATAAATCAGAAACCAGACATGAAATAAGTCTTCAGAAAGCAGTTTAGAGACAAAGGAAATGGAAAATATAAAAGAGATTAAAAGACATGGGGGTTAGAATAAGGAAGATTGACGTCCCAGAAGGAAAAAATAAAGAAAATGGAGGAGAGCTAAAATTCTTAGAGATAAAAAGTGAGAATTTTTGAAAAGTAAGAAATGGACCTACAGATACAGGAAGCATATGCCAAAAAGGAAAAGTAAATTCACACACAGTCATGCCATAGTCAAACTACAAAGCACCAAGAAAGATCTTAAGGGAGCTAAGAAAAAAGACAAATCACCTACAAGCAACCACAATCAATAAGAATGATACATTTCTCACTGCAACAATGGATGCTGAAAGAGGAGGGCTTAATATCTTCAGTGTGATATGAGAAAACTATCAACCTAGAATGTTATGTCCAGAGAAACTATCTTTAAAAAACAATGTTGAGATAAAGACCTTTCAGATAAAATAATTTGCCTCCAAAAGACTTTCACTTAAGGAAATTCTGCTTTAGGAAAAAGGAAAATAGTATCAGAAAGGAGGTCTAAGATGCAGGTAGGAATGGTGAGCAGACGTTGGTAAGCATCTGAGTAAATCTAAACAAGTGCTACCTGTATAAAATAATAATGCTAAGGCAAATAATAATGTCTAATATGTGAGGTAAAAAAAGATAAAATATTGGTCAACTAGAAGAGTGGTTAAATATTGATTCATTTTTAAATAATTAAATTTTGTATTAATTTTATTTTATTTTTTAAAGATTATTTATTTATTTATTTGACAGACACAGCGAGAGAGGGAATACAAGCAGGGGGAGTGGGAGAGGGAGAAGCAGGCTCCCCACGGAGCAGGGAGCCCGATGCGGGGCTCGATCCCAGGGCCCTGGGATCATGACCTGAGCCGAAGGCAGATGCTTAATGACTGAGCCACCCAGGCGCCCTGTATTAATTTTAAATTAACTGTCATGCATGTTAAAATTTCGAGGATAACTTTCCTAAAGTAAAGAAATTGCATAACTTCTAAACCAATAAAGAGGAAGAGTGGAATTTTAAAAAATTTTTTTAAATTCTTTGCCACTATTTAGCTTTGTAACTAACCCCCGTCATGTCACAGAACCGCCATTAGTTTCCTCACATTTAAAATATGGATAGTAGTACCTCCCTTATATGTTTGTTGTGAATATGTGATCAGATAGTGCATGCAAAAAAGCTGAACACAAATCTACATAGTAAGTATCCAATAAATATTAGACATTACTACTATTAATAATGATTTATGGAGTACGTGACTGGCACAGTTGGTGGAGCATGAGGTCCTTGATCTTGGGGTCATGAGTTCAAGCTCCACATTCGGCATGGAGCTTGTTTTTAAAAAATTAAAAATTAAATAAGTAAATTTTAAAAAATGTTTTAAATAGTGATTTATATAGTGACCATTAAAGGTGGTACTTTAAAGCCATGCTAGAACTTCCCTGCCAACATCTCGTCCAGCTTCTCTTCCATGAGAGTGAGTGCTACACCCAAAGATGGCTAGAATGTTGAACAGTTCTAATAACTCTGACGGGTCATCTTGTGTTAATCGTAACTCCTTGCCCAGAACCTTCAGAATTCAGTATTGCCTTTCAGTAAAAGTTCAGAACATCAAGACTTTCCACAGCCTGGCCCCAACCAACTTGATCTCACGTCCTTGAGTTGGATCTCTAAACATATTTGATGTCTCTTTCCTTTATACTTTTGCTTAGAATGCCCTTTTGAAAAATAGTAGAATTTGGGTGATTTTCTGCAAAACCCTCCCTTTTCTGAAAAATTCATCCTAGTCTCCAAACTCCAGTTCAAGTCCCATAAAAGTTTTTGACTATTCCAAAAATTATTTATAATTTGAAAAACTATCATCTAAACCAAACTTAAGAGTAGTCATTTTTGCCTGTCTTCTGCTGCTTTTTCAATTGAGCTTTTACTTAAAATTTATATTATCACAGCATTTTCCTCACATTTGCGTGGTATTTCCAGTTAGATTTTTTTGTTCCTTAAGACAGTGGTTATTTCTTTTACATCTTTGTATAGCTCCTAGGGAAGGGAAACTAATATTTAAGTGCCTACTATATGCCAAGCACTCTACTAAATGCCTTCTTATATGTAACATCTAACTTATTCCTCACAGCAAACTTAGAAGGATAGATATGAGTGTCCCTGTTTTACAGCTGAGGACATTGCACTTGAAAATGGTTAAATAACATACCCAAGGCACTTAACTAGTCAGTGGCAGAGCTGGGTTTCTACCATACCACCCATCAAAATAGCTTGCAAATAAAACATGTCTTGGAGGAGTAAAAGGCTCAAATGGTTTATACATTTTTCTACTTATTTATATTCTACTCTGAAATTTAGGGTGTCATGGAAACATTTCCAAGAAGCCAAAATTCTTTTCAAAAATTAAAATTTGACATGCCAGTTATCAACTAACAGCTGAAACATAGGAATTCACAAAGAGCTGGATGTCAGACAGAAAACCTTATTTAGGGGGTTTAGATTAAGGGGATTAGAGAGAGATTCTGTTCTCTTATTCTGTGCTTTGAGTTCATGTACTATGACATGAAATGAATCACAACAAAGTGAACCATCCTTAAGGTGCTTGCTGCAGGTCCATAACCCTTTCAGAACATTCTTTCTCAACGAGAGGTCTGGTGATACCAATTCTTGCAATTCCAAATGAAGAGGGCAGAAGTGTGTTTTCATGGAACTATCATCTCTGTGGTTCCCAGTTAAGACTTAAATTAAGGAAGTCCATAGCATGAGGAATGTTCCTGATGTTAGCTGTCCTCAGGTTATCTATAAATCTCTTTTCATCATGTACATCTCAAATCCTATCTTCTCCCATATTCTTTTCTTGGATCCCACAACACTGTTTCAGTGTGTATAATTCTCTGCTGTACTAGAGTCTCTAAATCACACATTCTTTGTGATCACTCACAAACTCTTCATAATGGCCACTGGGAATACAAAATTGGATATAACAGCCCAATACTCCCAAGATGTCAATAGGCAAGGATATAGAGAGGCAGAGATTGGTTGTATTTTTAAAATTCCCTTTTCTTGTTTAAATGTTCCTTTTGAAATATCTTTAAAATTTCAAATACCTCTCGGCAGTATTATTCATTCAAGTGTTCTTCACCTCCAATCTCTGGTCCCAGAATACCCTTTGGCAAAATTATTGTGATGACTAAACAGAAAACTGATGCTATTGCTTCTGCCACCATCTTCAAATCCAAAAGACGGTCTTCATAATGTATGGAGACTTCTGTTTCATGTGTTGGAGTGATACTCCTCACAGATCAGAAAAACTGGACCGAGAAAGCTCAAGTTTGAAAGTTACCTAAAGAGTGTCCTTGGAGGGAATTGTAACCAGGCATGTTGACTGTTTTCATTATTGACATTGGACTAAATCTCAGGAGCTTGAATGGTGGAGATGTTATTTCGCAGAGAAGCTCAGGATGGTGTGATTGCAAGGCTTCATTTCAGTGCTTCCTTAAGTATAAATATAGTGTACTTATTTATAATTTTCACTTATTACAGGGTAAATTTAAAATTGATTGATAAAAAAATTACCTTTTTCCAGATTTCAAAAAGCACAGAAATTTGTGAAGGATAGTATTTTTACTTCTTAAATGCTTTTTTTCCCCTCCTAATTCTACTTCCCAACATTATCTACTGTTAATGGAGTTCTGTGTGTATCCTTTTGGGGTATATTGATGAACAAATTGTTATGCTAGTAGTCTTTTGGACCCATATATTAGCTACAAATTTTCTAGGTGGTTACATGCTTTATATAGAAATTATTTTTAATTTCTCTGGCTAATTTATTGAAAATAGCCCTAGTATTTCCACCTTATTGGAATTAAGTATATCCAAAATTTATATTCTGAGTCAAAAGTGGAAATTTTCCCTAACCAGTACAAACATTACATTTCAGTGTTTTAATCTTTGAAAACGTGGTATTACAAAAAAAAATGGCTTTTCTTTTCTTACTGTTCATCTTCATATGTCCTTAAACCTTACTAGTCACTTGTTATTTCATTTTCTTCTGTGTTTTCTTTTTCATTTCCCTCAGAATATTAGTGTTTTTGTTACTGATTTCTAAAAGGTCTTTTATGACTAAGGATGTTAACCATTTGCCATGCATTGCAAAAGAAATACCATGTGTTCTCACCACCATTTTACTGTGATGTTTTACTTTTTGGTTGTACAGAAGTTGTGTATTCAAATATAATAATGTTCTGCTTTAAAAAAAAAATTCTTTCTCTTCTCTTTTGCCTTCTCTAGGGTTACACATCTTTCTGGAATGACTGCATATCATCTGGCCTGCGAGGGGGTATCCTGATAGAGCTGGCGATGCGGGGTCGAATCTATCTGGAACCCCCCACGATGCGTAAGAAGCGACTACTGGACAGAAAGGTACAGCACCTCTGTGGACATCCTCCTAACTTATGAAAGGGCAGATATCAATGGTCCATTCTGGAGGAATGGGAAGTTTGTTGTTTTTTTTGGGGGGTGCTTTAACTCATGACCCTGAGATCAAGACCTGAGCTAATAACAAGAGTCAGATGCTTAACCAACTGAGCCACCCAGGTGCCCCTGGGGGGAATGGGAAGATCTGAGTAGTGAGACAAGATAAATATCACTGACTTAGTTATTCCATTGTCTAACAGTTTTAATTAACCTATAGCAGAGGGAGAAATTCAAATATCCATCATCTAAAGAGCTTTAAGAAGGTTATGGTTTTGTCTTTTTTATGCAGAAAAATCACTTTAGGATGCTGTTATTACTCCCTCTATATAACTATAACATTATGAAATAGAGTGTTATATAGGAGGGGGGCAAACACATGTGTCAGGTGAGTCTTTGTTTAACTCTAGTCATGCTCAGATAACCATTAGATTTTTCTCTTTCCATTTATAGCAAGTCGGGTCCACCATATGAGCTATACTCCTGTCTCCATTTTTTACTACTTATTTTTTCCACTCATAACTTCACTGTCATACTCAGAACTCTACCAAAACTACGTTCTTTAGGTATCACCAGCAGGCTCTGTGCCCAATGTAGGGCTTAAACTCAACCCTGAGATCAAGAGTCACATGTTCTGAGCACCTGGGTGGCTCAGTCGGTTAAGTGTCTGCCTTTGGCTCAGGTCATGATCCTGGGGGCCTGGGATGGAGCCCCACGTCGGGCTTCCTGCTCATCCGGAGCCTGCTTCTGCCTCTCCTTCTGCCATTCCCCCTGCTTATGCTCGCTCACGCTCTCTCTCTCTCTCTCTTTGTGTCAAATAAATAAATAAAATATTTTTAAAAGGGGGGGCGCCTTGGTGGCTCAGTCATTAAGCGTCTTCCTTCTGCTCAGGTCATGATCTCAGGGTCCTGGGATGGAGTCCCACATCTGGCTCCCTACTCAGCAGGAAGCCTGCTTCTCCCTCTCCCACTCCCCCTGCTTATGTTCCCTCCCTCCCTATGTCTCTGTCAAATAAATAAAATCTTTAAAAAGGGGGGGGGGCACCTGGGTGGCTTAGTTGTTAAGCGTCTGCCTTCTGCTCAGGTCATGATCCTGGGGTCCTGGGATCGAGCCCTGCATCGGGTTCCCTGCTTAGCCAGAAGCGTGCTTCTCCCTCTCTCTGTAACCCTCCACCCCACTCGTGTTCTCTCGCTATCCCTTCTCTCAAATAAATAAATAAAATCTTAAGAAAAAAAAAAAAGACACATGCTCTATCAACTGAGCCAGCCAGGTGCTCCATCACCACCCTCTCTTTTGTCTTTATTTTTCTCTTTTAAGCTATATGTGGCCTTTGACATTTTTGACCACCTCCTCCTACTTGAAATTTTCTCCATTCTTGGCCTTTGTTAAATTACGTTTTCTTGCTTCTCTGGCTGTACCCTATTTCTTGTACTTCTCCATTCCTTCACATCTAAGTCTCAGTTTGTATCCTTTTGCATAACTTCCTGTCCTTTTGGAGATATCATTTACCTTACAGCTTCATCTATCACCTCCATGATATTAACCTATCAAATCCTAGGCCTTCTTTTTCTACCCTATTTAAGTATTGAGTAGGCATTTTAACCTGGCTATCCCTTATCAGTTAAAACCAAACCTATCAACTTTTCCCCAAAACTGGTTCCTTTCCTAACTTTCCTATATTTATTATTTCATAAATTGGTTTTCCAGGGCACCTGGGTGGTTCAGTTGGTTAAGCGTCTGCCTTTGGCTCAGGTCATGATCCCAGGGTCCTGGGATCGAGTCCTGCATCAGGCTCTCTGCTCAGCAGGGAGTCTGCTTTTCTCTCTCCCTCTGCCTCTCCCCCCTGCGCATTTTCTCTCTCATTCTCTCTCAAATATATTTTTTAAAAAGTTGGTTTTCCAGACCCAAAGACTTATTATTGCATATTGTCTCCATGATCATTTATATCCAGTTTGTCGCTAGGGTCCACTTCAAATGTTATTTTTGTCTCCTTACTATTACCCCATACTAAATTTTAAATTTCTTGAGGAAAGGAACAGTATACTAAGTTGCTTTGCATTTCCTACAACACTTAACCAATAATACATATATGGTATACTGAAAGATTTTAATTTGAATTAAGGAAATGAACTAGGGTCCCTTGATTCTTCTTTTAAAGGTACTGCTAAAGTCAGATAGCCCAACAGGGGATGTTTTACTGGATGAAACTCTCAAACACATCAAAGCAACTGAACCCACAGAAACCGTCCAGACATGGATAGAGCTACTCACAGGTAAAATGGCTCAAAATGGTTCAAAAATCCAACACTTTGTAATCTTTATGCTACTAGTTCAAGAATAGGAGTACAGGAATTAAAGCTGCTGGGTAAGAAATATATGGTTCAGGGGCACCTGGGTGGCTCAGTCAATTAAGCATCTGCCTTCGGCTCGGGTCATGATCCCAGGGTCCTGCGCTCCCTGCTCAGTGGGAAGCCTGCTTCTCCCTCTGCCTGCCACTCCCCCTGCTTGTGCTTTCTCTCTCTCTCCTTAATAAATAAAATCTTTAAAAAAAAAAAAGAAATATATGGTTCACTATTTAAATGTATTAAAGAGGGACAGAAAAGGCATGGTTAATCAATACATAAAGTTTTCCACCAAAGTTTCACCTTACTTCTGCCACCCCACCCTATAAGTTCTCTAAAAATATTCTTCAGAAGAAAAAATTTTAACATCTTTATTGATATATAATTCACACACCATACAGTTGACCCATGGAAAGTACACAATTAAATGGATTTTAGTATATTCACACAATTGTGCAACCATCATCACAATCTAAATTTAGAACATTTTCATCACCCCAAAAATAAACCCCATACTAATTAGCAGTTTTTTCCAAGCCTCCTGCCCAGCTCTCGGCAACCACTAGTCTACATTCTGTCTCTATAGATTTGCTTATTCTAGATATTCATTTAAATGAAATGTATAACATTTTGTGTAACTGGCTTAAGATATAATATTTTTAAGGTTCATCCATGTTTTAGCATGTTCCAGTACTTCATCCTCTTTTTTTTTTTAAGGGCAAGTTCAAAAACTTTAATATAAGTAAGTAGATCTGTGGTATAAAATTTTAGGAAAAAGCAGGACACTTTGAGATCACCAGTGTCACCTTCTGGGACAATTTTTTAATTGAAATTTTTACTGAGATATTTGTAGATTTACATGCAGTTGTAAGAAATAATACCGAGAGATCCCTTATACACTGCCCAGATCCCCCAGTGATAACCTTTTAGAAAACTATAGTATAATATGACCCACAGGATATTGACATTGATAAAATCCACCAATCTTACTAGAACTTCCCCAGTTTCACCTTGACTCCTTTTTATCACTAAATAATATTTCATTGTATAGATGTACCACATTTATTTATTGATTCATCGGTCAATAGACATTTGGATTATTTCCACTTTTAGGCTATTATGAATAATGCTGCTATGAACATTCACAGATGGGTTTTTTGTGGATGTGTTTTAATTTCTTTTGGGTATATAGTTAACTTTTTTAATTGTAAAATATGCATAACTATCTTTATTGTCTTAACCATTCATAAATGTATAATTCAGTGACATTAAATGCATTCCAGGTGTTATGTAACCATCACCTCTCTCTATACCCAAAGCTTTCTCATCATCCCAAACATCCTTTCTTTCCGCCCCCCCCATTCTCTGGCAACCTCTTTTCTACTTGTTGTCTTTATGAATTTGCCTGTACTAGGTAACTCATATAAGTGGAATTACAATATTTGTCCTTCTATATCTGTCCTATTTCATTAAGCATAATGTATTCAAGGTCTGGTCATGTTGTAGCATATATCAAAATCTCATTCCTTTTTATGGCCAAATTATATTCCATTGTTCAGATCTCCCCTTTTTTTTTATTCTATTGTTGATGGACACTTGGGTTGTTTCCACCTTTTAGCTATTGTGGATAATGCTGCTGTGAACATTAGTATACAGATATCTGTTCAAGTCCCTGCTTTGCATTCTTTTGGATATATAGCTAGAAGTAGAATTGCTGGGTCATATGATAGTGCTATGTTTTGAGAAACCATAAAACCATTTCCTCTACAGGCTACACCCTTTTACACTCTCACCAGCCATGCATGAGCTTTCTAGTTTCTCTACATTGTCATCAACACTTGTTCTATTTTTTGTTTTATTTTGTTTTTAATTATTAGCTCCCCTAGTAGGCATGAAGGGATATCTCATTGTTGTTTTCATTTGCATTTCTCTAATGACCAGTGATGAGCATCTTTTCATAGGTTATTGGCCATTTGTATATCTTCTTTGGAAAAATGTTTATCCAAGTTCTTTGCCCATTTTTTAAATTAGGTTCTGTTGTTATTGTTTTTGTTTAAAGATTTTATTTATCTGAATATTTAGTTATTTATTTGAGAGAGAGAGAGAGCTAGCGAATACACAGAGGGAGGGGGAGAAGCAGACTCCCTACTGAGCAGAGAGCCCAACACAGGACTCAATCCCAGGACCCTGAGATTATGACCTGCGCCAAAGGCAGACACTTAACCAACTGAGCCACCCTGTTGGCTCCCTATTGTTATTGCTGTTGAGTTTTAGAAGTTCTTTATATTTTCTGGATATTAATCCCTTATCAGATCCATCATCATTTACCAATATTTTCTCCCATTCTGTAGGTTGTCTTTTCAACTTTTTTGATGGTAATCCTGGATGCACAAAAGTTCTTAATTTTGATGAAATTCAATTTATCTATTTTTTCTTTTGTTGCCTGCACTCTTGGTCTCATATCCATGAAAAGACTGCCCTTTCCCCATTGAATAGTCTTAAGTAGCCTTGTTGAAAATCAGTTGATCATAGATGCGAGGATTTCTGGGCTCTCTGTTCTGTTGCTTTGATCTATGTTTGTCCTATGCCAATACCATACTGTTTTACTTACTATAGTTTATAGTAAGTTTTGAAGTTGGGAAGTATAAGTCATTTTTGAAGGACAGTTTTTCTGGGTATAGAATTCTCATTTGACAGGTTTTTTTTTCCCTTTTATATCTTTGAATATATTAGCCCACTGCCTTCAGGCTTCCAAATTTTTTGATGAGAAATCTGCTGATAATATTACTGAGGATCCCTTCTTTGTAACGACTCACTTCTATCTTCCTGGGTTTGTTCGTTTGTTTGTTTTAAGGAAAGGGGAAGAAAGACTACTAAAGATTTTATTTATTTATTTATTTGAGAGAAAGAGAGCACTCACCCCCAAGGGGAGGGGCAGAGGGAGAAGGAGGAAGGAGATTCCCTGACGAGCAGGGAGCCCAGTGCAGGACTCAATCCCAGGACTCTGGGATCATGACCTGAGTCAAAGGCAGATGCTTAACTGACAGCCACCCAGGCGCCCCTGGAGCCTAATTTAAAAAAAAAAAAAAAAGATTCTAGATTCTAGTATAATTGTTGTCTAGGTGAAGAGAGGAATGTCTGGCACTTCCTACTCTGTCTTCATCCCTGATGTCATACCTCAGTGATTAACAATTTAAAGAATCTTATCATCTATGTCCAGTTTGAGGTTGTCATTAGGGCCCACTTCAGATATTATTTTTGTCTCCCCACTATTACCCCATATTAGATTTTAAACATCTTTTTTTTTTAAAGATTTTTATTTATTTATTTGAAAGAGAGAGAATGAGAGATAGCACGAGAGGGAAGAGGGTCAGAGGGAGAAGCAGACTCCCTGCTGAGCAGGGAGCCCGATGCGGGACTCGATCCCGGGACTCCAGGATCATGACCTGAGCCGAAGGCAGTCGCCCAACCAACTGAGCCACCCAGGCGCCCTAGATTTTAAACATCTTAAGGACAGGGATGGGGCCAGTTTTTCAAAGTGGCTACACCATTTTATATTTCCACACCAATGTATAAGTTTTCATTCTTCTACATTCTCATCAGTACTTGTTATTCTCTGCTTTATTTTATTTTATCTATCCTAATGAATATGCAGTGGTATATCATTGTGACTTTTATTTGGATTTTCCTAATACTAATGTTGTTGACCATCTTTATGTACTTATGGCCGTTTGTATATCTTCTTTGGAGAATTGTCTATTCAAATACTTCACCTATTTTTTGAGGCACCTGGGTGGCTCAGTCAGTTAAGCGTCTGCCTTTGGCTCAGGTCATGATCCCAGGGTCCTGGGATCGAGCCCCGCGTTGGGCTCCCTGCCTGGCCGGGAGCCTGCTTCTCCCTCTTCCACTGCCCCCCTGCTGCTTGTGATCTCTCTCGCTCTCTCTGTGTGTCAAATAAATAAATAAATTCTTTAAAAAAAACCCAAAACAAATACTTAACTTATTTCTTAATTAGGTTTACCTTTTTTACTATTGAGTTGTACTTTTCATATATATTCTAGATACAAATCTCATCATGTGCAGGATTTGCAAAACTTTTCTTCCATTCTATGTCTTTTCACTTCTTTATGGTGTCCCTCAAAGCATAAAGTTTTCAATTTTAATACTTTTCAATTAAACTTTTTTTTCTTTTATTACTTGTGTAATATCTGAGAAATGATTGCTTAACCCAACATCATGGAAATTTATTCCGGGGGCACCTGGATGGTTCAGTCGGTTAAGCCTCTGCCTTCAGCTCAGGTCATGATCCCAGGGTCCTGGGATTGAGCCCTGCATTGGGCTCCCTGCTCAGCAGGGAGCCTGCTTCTCCCTTTCCCTCTGCCCCTCTCCCTCCCACTCATGCTCTCTCTCTTGCATGCACGTGTTCTCTCTCTCTCAAATAAATAAAATCTTCTTTAAAAAATTTATTCCTGCATTTACTTCTAAGAGATTATAGATTTGTCTATTTCATTTAGGTCTGTTGTCCATTTTGAGTTAATTGTATATGGTATGGGATAGAGCTCCAACTTCAGTCTTTTGCATGAAGATAGAAATACAGTTGTCCTGGCACTATTTGTCCTAATACTGTTCTGTCCTCCATGATTTATCTTGGTACCATTGTAAAAAATCATTTGACCATAAATGTATGGGTTTATTTCTGGACTCTTCTTTTGATCTATATGTCTATTCTTATGCAATACCACACTCTCTTGATTATTGTAGGTTTTGGTTTTTGTTTTGTTTTTTTGATTATTGTAGTTTTATAGTAGTTTTGAAACCGGGAAGTGTGAGTCCTCCAACGTTATTCTTCTTTTTCAAGATTTTTTTGGCCATGCTGGGCCTTTTGCATTTCCATATGAATTATAGAATTAGCTTGTCAATTTCTGCAATAAAGCAGGGGAGGATTTTAATAGGAACTGTATTGAATCGGTAGATCAGTGTGGGGGAATATTGCTATCTTAATAAAATGAAGTTTCCCAATCCGTGAACATGGGATGCCTTTCCATTTATTTAGATAATCTTTATTTCTTTCAACAATATTTTATAATTTTCAGTGTACAAATCTTACACTGCTTTTGTTATATTCCTAAGTATTTTGTTCCTTTTGATGCTGTTATAAATGTAATTGTTTTCTTAATTTTATTTTCAGATTAATTGTTGCTAATGAATAGAAATTCAGTTGATTTTTGTATATTAATCTTGTATCCTGCAACCTTGCTGAATTTGTTGCAATAGTTTAAGTGGATTCCTTAGATTTTTCTGTATACAAGATCATGTCATCTGAAAATAAAAATAGCTTAACTTCTTCCTGTCTGATCTGAATGCTTTTATTTCTTTTTCTTGCCTAATTGCCCGACTAGAACCTCCAGGAAAAAAAAATAGAAGTGATGAAAATGGCATCTTTGTCTTACACCTGATCTTAGCAGGACAACACTGACTCTTTCACCATTAAGTATGAAGCTAGCTGTGGGTTTTTTGTAAATGCCCTCTATCAGGTTGAGGAAGGTTCTACCTATTCCTAGTTTGTTGAGTATTTTTATCATGGAAGTATGTTGAATTTTGTCAGATACTTTTTCTGTGTTGATTGAGATGATCATTTGGTTTTTGCTTTTCATTCTATTGATATGATGTGTTACATAATTGGGTTTGGGGATATTAAAGCAACCTTGCATTTCTGGAATAAGTCCCACCTAATTTTGTTACATAGTGTTTATTATATGTTGCTGGATTTTATTTGGTAGTATTTTGTAGAATATTTTTGTACCTATAGTCATAAGGGGTATTGGTCTATAGTTTTCTTGTGTGATGTCTTTGTCTGGTTTTGGTATCAGAGTAATACTTAAGGAAGTGTTCCCTTTTCTGTTTTTTTGAAAGAGTTTGTGAAGGATTAGTAGTATTCTTTAAACATTTGGTAGAATCACCAGTAACCCATCTTAACCACGCTTTTTGGGGGGAGTTTTAAATTACTTATTCAATCTATTTACTGTTACAGATCTATTCAGACTTTTTCTTCTTGAGTCAATTTAGATAATTTGTGTGTTTCAAGGAATTTGTCCATTTCTTCTAGGTTATCTAATTTGTTGGCGTACTGTTGTTTATAGTGTCCTCTTACCACCCTTTTTATTTCTTTAAGGTCAGTGGTGATGTTTCCTCTTTCATTCCTAATTTTAGTAATTTGAGTCCTCTCTTTTTTCTTGGTCAGTCTAGGTTTGTCAATTTGTTGATCTTTTCAACTTTGATTTTATTGATTTCCTGTATTGTTTTCATTGTTTCTATCTATCTCCTCTCTAATCTTTACTGTTTGCTTTCTTTTGCTCCCTTCATGCTTAATGTGCTCTTCTTTTTCTACTTTTTTAAGGTAGGAAGTTAGGTTATTGATTTGACATCTCCTTTTCTAATATAACATTTGGGGTCATAAATTTCTCTCTTGGCACTGCTTTAAGCTGCAGCCCATAATTTTGGTCTGTTGTGTTTTCATTTTCATGCAGCTCAAAGTATTTTTTAAATTTCCCTGTGATTTCTTCTTTGACCAATTGGTTATTTAGGAGTGTGTTGCTTAATTTCCACATATTTTTTAATTTCCCAGATTTTTGTCTGTTAATTTCTAATTTAATTCTGTTGTGGTTGGATAGCATACTTTGGATGTTTTCAGTCCTTTTAAGTTTATTAAGGCGATTTTATGGCCTACGATATGGTCTATCCTGGAGAATGTTCCATGTGCACTTGAGAAAGATATGTATTCTGCTGTTAGGGTGGAATGTTCTGTAGATATCTTGTTAGGTCTAGTTGGCTTATAGTGTTGTTCAAGTCTTTTGTTTTTTTTCCCCAAAGGTGAGACCTGGAACCCCTTCAAATTACAGTACCAGCTGAGAAATGTAAGAGAGCGAATTGCAAAGAACCTAGTAGAAAAGGGTATTCTAACCACTGAGAAGCAGAATTTCCTCCTATTTGATATGACTACTCATCCAGTGACCAATACAACAGAGAAACAACGACTAGTCAAAAAACTTCAAGATAGTGTCCTAGAGCGGTGGGTAAATGACCCTCAGCGTATGGACAAGCGAACACTAGCACTCCTGGTGCTAGCCCACTCCTCTGACGTGCTAGAGAATGTCTTCTCCTCTCTGACAGATGACAAGTATGATGTGGCAATGAATCGAGCCAAGGATCTAGTAGAACTGGACCCTGAAGTGGAGGGGACAAAGCACAGTGCCACAGAGATGATCTGGGCTGTGCTGGCAGCCTTCAATAAATCCTAAAGCCAGTGGGTGGGTTTCTCCTTTTCCCCTGCCGGCTGGTGACTGTCAGAGACACCACACTGAGTTTTGTGTGATGAGATGTTTTTCATCATTTTTTTCCTTCTCTTGAATCAGATTTGTGATTTGGGGAGAGCAGCTTCAGGGCTTCTCCATAAACTTTGGCCATTGTAAACAGACTATTTCTCCTTATTTTTCCACTACAGAGGTGAATAAACTAGGTGAACCCACACACACCCAACAGGCACCATTTTTTCTCATTTCTTGGTTTACTTCCACCCAGTGTGCTTTTGGATAAGCAGGAATATCTAAGTGGGATTTGAAGTTCTCCAGTCAGAAAATGTGAGTGAGATATAGAGCAAACCATTTATTAAGTTTTTTAAAATTTGTTTTCTATCCTTTTTTTTTTTTAAGTAGGTTCCACGCTCAACGTGGGGCTTACTCATGACCCCAAGGTTAAGAGTCACATACTCTATGGACTGAGCCAGCCAGGCGGCCCCTATTTTCTACCTTAAATACATGTTTTCACAGTCTTTGTCTCTCAGACTCTACTAAGTAATGTAGTTATTGAAATAACTGTTTCTTTGAATAAGGGGCAGTGGAAACAAAACTAATTTTTGGAGCAGATGGTCTCTGGGATTGTATGTCCCACTAATGATTTTTTCTTCTTTCCTTTTCTAACCTAATGAAAAGATTGCAAATTTGATTGCCTGGTTCTCACAGTCTTAGAATCAGAAATATATTCTATACTCTCTCTTAGCATTATCCTACCCCTTCATTCATTAGGACAAAAGTCTGAATGAAAAAAAAATGTATCAACCATGTCCTTCAGCCTTTAGTTATATGATTTATAAGGGAGGGAGGTAGCATGAGAATTTCCACTCATTAGCACATGACTGTCCTGATTCCTCCAGATAGACTCTACATGTCTCTGAATTGAGGGAGTTATAAATTTCAGTTGCTGAATAGCAGCATCCTGAGTCCAGACAGTCTATCTAAACTCCAGAAGTTCTTGTTCCCTATCTTCAACTTCCTTCATAAATTGATAGATTCTGTCTATATTTAAGGGTTGTAGGAGTATTTTTGTCTACATTTAATTCACAGTTACCCTCCTAGTCATTAGTCTTGTTTCAACACAACCATCTATCTACCCAAATCTCTAAAAAGTTTCAATTTTTTCAATTCAGTAGTGAGTGCAAAGAGAAGATTAAGATAAATACTATTTAGAAGAGCAATTTGGTGTCAAAAGCATGCTGATATAAAGTCTAGTGTTTGGGAATATAAAGAGGACAGGCACCAAGTTGTGCTAAGGTCTAGCATTTATTATGCTAATATTTTTTAATGGAGCATGCTTCATGACCATTACAGAGAAACAGGTTGTCAGAGAGCTAATACAGACAACCCAGACCTGATACCAGATATTCAGTAATTACAAGAATGATTGTAACTTTGATTTCCTACCGCAAACCTGTTTAGCCCCACAAAATTCCCCAACTCAATTAACTCAATTAAGTTTTTCACTTCAGGTATTGCTTATGTGACTAGAGATACAAATTTTAGTGTGAAATGAATTCTAAATGTGAGCCCGAGTAGAGTTTCAGTCTGGCTCTCTGAAAGTACAAAAACCAGTCCATGTGTTGTATCTACCTGACTTAGTTTTCCTTTCCATTTGAACAATTCAGCAGGAATTGAAACCAGGTTTTCCTGTGGAAAGTATCAGCTTGATTGGGGGAATGGGGGGCAGAAGTTGAGTTGAGTTCTTTCTTGCAACTCTTGGTCAGTGTTTATTTTTATATTGTATCTCAATGAGGATTTCTTCAGTTTGAATCTGTATTCACTGTAAAACACCTTCTCCTTTAATGCATATGGCCTTCACATTTCTGTACAATAAATATCAATTTTTGGTTCTCTGGTTTTACAACTTCAATTATTTTAACTGGAAATAAGAACTTTCCACACAAGGCCAATAACACTATCCCTTTACACTAGGAGACCAGCCTGTTTCATCCTGTGTAGAAAATTAGGAATATGTGGAGTCGTAACATATATAGATAGGCCGGGCGGGGGGTGGGCAGGCACATCAAGGCTAACCTGAAGAGTAGCTAATGTTGTGGTCTGAAAAATGTCCCCTCAATCAAAATAATTTACCCAATTATAATATTATTATCATGAAGAAAAGGAGTATGTTCTATCCTATTATCTACTCGCAAGTGACACCTAAACTTACCTAAGAGCTGAAAGTCTTTAAGTTCGCAACACAGGTAACATACCTCACTGTGACAGAGTTAACAACATGTGAAAAGTATGGTGTCTCTCCCAACTAGATGGGGCCCCCAAATGTGAGGCAACCCGATCGGGTGGAATTTGGAGGTGCAGGTGGTGAAAGGATTTCACCTGAAGCAGAAAGAGGAGAAGTTTACTGAATACATTGCAAGGGAGTGGTGGGCAGGACAGGAAAGCAGAGACTGTGGGGACTGTATTTAAAGGGAGAAGGTGAGGAGGTATGGGGACATAGGGAATTTTCCCCTTTTAGGTAACTGTGCCTGGTTGTAAGTAGCCCATTGGTTAGTTAGGGCCTTGGATATTTTGAGGTGGGTCACCTGATGGCCTGTCTGTATTCAGCCAGTGGTTATGGTGGGCCCTTGTGCCTTGCTCAAGTTTCCATTGCTCAAGCTTGTTGCCTAAAAGTGACGTCTACAAAAAGATAATTGTGCTTGTAATTGGTTTATTGTTCTTCCCTTCTTTATAATGTCTACAGCACAGGGGACAATAAGAAATATATTTACCAGGATTGTTTATACTTGTTAATTTTATTTCAAGCAAAGCATTGTTCCCTTAAGTCATCCTTTATACAATGTTTCTCAAAATGTGGTGCAAAGAGTACTGCACCAAAATCACCTTGGGGTGGGGGTTACCTTGCTAAAATGCAGGTTCCTGGTAAATCCGTCTCTGGTATAGGTTAAGGGCTAGGAAGCTGCATTTTATTTTATTTTATTTTTAAAGATTTATATTTATTTATTTGACAGAGAGAGACACAGCGAGAGAGGGAACACAAGCAAGGAGAGTGGGAGAGGGAGAAGCAGGCTTCCCGCAGAGCAGGGAGCCCAATGTGGGGCTCGATCCCAGGATCCTGGGACCATGACCTGAGCCGAAGGCAGACGCTTAACGACTGAGCCACCCAGGCGCCTCTAGGAAGCTGCATTTTAAACACAGTCTCCAGGCGCCTGGGTGGCTCAGTTGGTTAAGCGACTGCCTTCGGCTCAGGTCATGATCCTGGAGTCCCAGGATCGAGTTCCGCATCGGGCTCCCTGCTCAGTGGGGAGTCTGCTTCTCCCTCTGACCCTCCCTCCTCTCATGTGCTCTCTCTCATTCTCTCTCTCAAATAAATAAATAAAATCTTTAAAAAATAAATAAATAAACACAGTCTCCAAAAGCTGCATGTTAAATTTTGAGAACACTGCTTGATATTTTATTGCTTGTAATTCATTAATCCCCCAAATATTGAGTACTTACAAATTTGGCACAAGTGCCAAACACTGGCACTTGCTGGGTATTGACAATAAAAAGTTGTGTAGGATACAATTTCACTCCCAATAACTCACAGTAAAGTGGGAAAATAAGATACTTTTTGATAAGTGCTCTAATAGAAACATAAACTTAATATTTGTGGGGTTTTTTAATTTTTTAAAGATTTTTTTATTTATTTTTAACAGAGAGAGACACAGCGAGAGCGGGAACACAAGCAGGGGGAGTGGGAGGGGGAGAAGCAGGCTTCCCGCCGAGCAGGGAGCCCGATGCGGGGCTCGATCCCAGGACCCTGGGATCATGACCTGAGCTGAAGGCAGACAACGACTGAGCCAGCCCAGGCGACCCTAAAGATAATTTTCAAAAAGGGAAAATCATAACTTACACAAATGATGGAACTAATAAGGTGTTAAACCGGCTCAAAAGAAAATCTGAAGACAGATATATACATAGGCAATTAAGAATGCTGAAATGAACTTGCTTGCTAATAGAGGTAAAATTAATATCTACAGTGTATAAAATATAATGTTTAGGACGAACTTTTTCACAGGGTGGAAATCAGTTGTATCTTCCTAGACAAAATTCAATTGTCTATGAATAAAAATCATTTGCATTGCCATCAGTTTTCTCAACTTAAAAATTGTAAAATAGTTCAAAGACAACGAAAGGCATAGATCACATAAGTCTGAAGACTCCTCTAGACAATACCCAACAATGTCTTTGCTCATTTCTTTTCTTTCTCTCTTTTTTTTTTAAGATTTTATTTATTTATTTGTCAGAGAGAGAGCACAAGCAGGGGGAGCAGCAGGCAGAGGGAGAGGCAGGCTCCCCTCTGAGCATGGAGCCCGATGTGGGGCTTGATCCCAGGACCATGAAACTTTAACTAACAGCTACAGTGTGAAATATTGGCCCAGGGAAGACCCTAGAGAAAATCACAGAAAAGGAAGAAAATGTACCTAGTGTCAGCTGATAGTGGCTTACTCTTTGTTGTAGTTTTTGTATTTAAAAGAGTATTCAGTCAAAAGGGGACAATTATAACCCCAAAGAATGGATCACTAATGAAATTTAATGTGCTACCTAAGACTTGTGAGGAAGAGTTGGAGCAAAGGGCTTTCAACCTTAAAACCCTGTCAATGGAGGTGGGGTAGTGGGTTGGGGAAAGACGTGGGAGGCTGGAGCAGGAGAAAGAAGCCAGCTTTTTTTTTCCTTTAATTTTTATTTGGGAGAGAGGGAGAGCGAGAGAAAGCACGAACAGAGCAGAGGAAGAAGTAGACTCCCCCCTGAGTAGGGAGCCCGATGCGGGACTCGATCCCAGAACCTTGGGATCCTGAGCCTGAGCTGAAGGCAGACGCTTAAACGACCGAGCCACCCAGGCGCCTGAAAGAGGCAAGCTTAAGGAGAGTATCACAGTTGGGTTTCTTGGGCAGCCAAGCAGGTAGCAGATTCTCTTTCTTCAAACCTCTGTTTTCCCTCCCTCCTCATCTTCATTCCCTCTTCTTCTTCCCCTCCTCCCTTCTCCTCTTCTTTTTAGATTGTCTGGACCTCTCCTTTTCAACTTCTTTTCCTCCACTAAGCTTTTTCCATTTATCTGAAAAACGCTGTTAAGGTAAAACTGGTCAGTGTTGTTAGACGTTACCCTCAGAGGGTAGTAACTGGAAGGGAGCACAAGGCGGGTTTCTGAAGTGCTAGTTAATACTCTGTTTCTTAATCTTGGTGCTGGTTACTTGGGTGTGTTCAGTTTGTGAAAACTGAGCTGTGCACTTATTACATGTGTACTTTTCTGTAAGTATATTTCAATATAAGTCTTAAGCTAAAGAAAAACAAACATCCCCCCTTGTTTCACTTGCTTCAGGAAGTGATTGGATAATAAAAGAGGGTATAGAGGAGTGTAGAAAATGATCTTCATATTTTTGCCCACAATCACCAACCACCGTTCCCAAGGTCTCATGACTCCAGTTTTGGCTTATTGACAAGGGGCAGTGGCAGTAGGAATGGAAAGGCACAGAAGAATGAGCCATCCTAGTTACCTTAAACAAACAAACAAAAAGAATCAAATACACAGAACAAACTGGAGAGAGGTTTGGGGGATGGGCAAAATAGATAAAGGGGATTAAAAGGTACAAGCTTCCAGTTATAAAAAGTCATGGGGATGAAAAGTTACAGCATTACGGGGGCACCTGGGTGGTTCAGTCGTTAAGCGTCTGCCTTCGGCTCAGGTCATGATTGATCGAGCCCCGCATCGGGCTCCCTGCTCGGCGGGAAGCCTGCTTCTCCCTCTCCCACTCTCCCTGCTTGTGTTCCCTCTCTCGCTGTCTCTCTCTGTCAAATAAATAAATAAAATCTTTTTTTAAAAAGCAAAAAAAAAAAAGAAAAAAGAAAAGTACAGCATACAGAATATAGTCAGTATCTTGTAATAATGTTGTATGGCATGTGGTGACCACATTTATGGTAGTGAGCACTGTGTAATGTATAGAATCGTTGAATCACTATGTTCACCTGAAACTAATATACATTTATGTCAACTACACTTCAATTAAAAAAGCCATCTATTTTTTTTAAGATTTTGTTTATTTATTTTAGAGAGGGAGGGAGAGAGAGTGTACCAGGGGAGGGACAGGGGGAGAGAGAGAGGGAGAGAAGCAGAACTCCGAGCTGAGCCTAGAGCCAGACAAGGATCCTGAGACCATGACCAGAGCTGAAACCAAGAGTACAACACTCAGCTGACTGAGCCACCCAGGCACCCCAAAAAATCATCTATTTTTAGAACATATTTTGTATTGCCTTAAGCATTTTAAAATAAATATTGCTCAGTCTTTTAAATGTTCCTGATGTTCTTAAGAATCTGAGGTGCCTGGGTGGCTCAGCTGGTTAAGCACTGGCTCTTGATTTTGGCCCAGGTCATGATCAAGCCTGGTGTTGGGCTCTGCACTCAGCAGGCAGTCTGCTTGGGGTTCTCCCTCTCCTTTTCCCTCTGCCCCTCCCTACTGCTCTCTCTCTCTCTCAAATAAATAAGTAAACCTTAAAAAAAGAAAGAATCCACTCAGCTATTCTGCTACCTTCTGTACTTTTCCCTCTTTGATCATAACCATCTCTCCCACACCCAAACAGAAGTCTAATTTAGTTTTTTTAAAAGATTTATTTGAGAGAGAGAGAGAGAGAGAGAGAGTGAGCATGGAGGTGGGGAGGAGCACAGGGAGAGGGAGAGAGAAACCCAAGCAGACGATGCACTGAGTGTAGAGCCTGACACTGGGCTTGATCCCACGACCCATGAGATCACCACCTGGGCTGAAACTAGTCTGATGCTTAACCTACAGGTGCCCCTAATTTAGTTTAATATAAATCAGTTTAGCCTAAGTTATCTAAAAAACTTTTTGGCCTCCACC